CCAGACACAGGTCTGGTGTACAGCTCTGACACTTGGGTCAGTGCATATACAGAAGACTTGGCACAATGTTATCAACCATCTGGATGGGATTAGCACTTAGAGAACACTTATCCAAGCAGATCTCATGGCCCTTTCAAAACATTTGTTAAGATACACCTAATATTTGGGGCTTGAAACTTCAAAATATTTCAATAAATTAAATGAATTTAAATCACACAAATTCTTAAAAACCAAGGAAATTATATTAGACAGTTATCAGAAATACATCAAAACATGGGAGAACTAAGACACATGCTGCTAAGTAAAGCTAGGAATGATGAATAAGCAAAAATGAAAATTACATAGTATTTGAACTAAAATAAAACATAACATATCCAAATGTATGGGTTGCAAAGAAGTGAATTCAGGACCCTGAAATTATAAGAGCATTCATGCATTTTAGCTAACATATTTTTCACCTTAGTTTCCACCATGACTTACTAGTAAAACAGTAAAAGCAAATTGTACTCAAAACAAGGGTCTCTTATCCTTAAAACATTGGTCTGTAATGAGCACACATCTAGTTTTGCAGCATTGGAATCACATCAGTCTGGAATAAAAACACACATTAGCAGCTTTACAAGAGAAAAGTCTGAGAGTAGATGAACAGAGTGAGAAACAGCTCAGAAAACTAGATGCACAGGAAAGTCAAAATGAGATTATTGTGTTATGGAATGTTTATACATGAGACTCTTGTGAGCTGTTCCAAAGCCAAAATCACACATTTCAGACAGCTTAGCATTCTTCAGACAGTTGGTGAGGGTGATGGTCACTTGGCAAATTGCTCTGAAGATCACAGATGGCAGCAGATGATTCCATGACACATTAGGGTCCCTGCCCAATGACAAGACTAGGATCTCGCAGTTATGAGTACCACAGAAACCTTTAGTGTTTCACAAATATTGTTAAGTCATTATTTTAAGTTGACTATGGAAAATATATTTTACACTCTTATTACTAGAGTGCTAATCATGTATTGTGAAACTAAAGGATTCATTTATTAATTTGAAAATATATTTCTTTTTATAACACAATAGTACAAAGTTAGTCCCCTCTAAAACATTATTTAAGCTAAGGAGTGAAAACAGTCTTTATTTCAAGGTACAACAATGTAGGAATGAAAAGGCTGAAACAACAACTGCAAAATGTACAAAATATTTAAAATTATAAAATACACAAATTGTATATTAATGATATAAGAAAGCAATGGAAAAATGAGGACTAGATTATCTAAAATTCTAGAATTAATAGAAACCTTAGTTCTTGAGCTGGCATTCACCTGACTTTTTGTCCTCCTGTCACATTTGCCAAATTTGCATCTGACAACTAGTTCTGACTTGGCACTGGCAGAAAAACGCACCTGGGAAAGAAGAATTCGGCTGAGCATCAATGGTTGTACAGGGCAGCTTCTTTCACATAGCCAGTGTTCTTCTTTGGACATTTGCTGACGTCTGAATGAGCAGGAAGGCTGAGGGTGCAAGGACAGACATCTCCCATAGACTAAGGGTGTTACCTCCAACCTCGCAGGCTACACAGACCATCCTTCATACACGTGTGAATTATGGATATTGATCTCCATCCCCACTGCTCCCCTGCTGGCATAGGCACTGCTGGGCCTACTGATTAGCATGACATTACATGTTACATCTCCCAAACTTGATCAGTGGCCTCTACTGGACATCATTTTAGGGAAGAATGAGTCTCAGAAGCTCTACTCAGCTATGTTAGGTTAACTAGAACTGAGTGATATGACCTCAAGTCTCCTTGCACAGGAGTCTCACTAATCTTTCAGTGATTACAGACCTAAAAACCTGCATGATGCACTACTTTTTCTTGAAACTGGCAGTGGCACAGGCTCATACTAGGAAACCAGGCAGTGGTGCTTTTAATTCTGTGGTTCCTCACAAGAAACCCATCTGGCTTCTTTTGTGTTCACGTCATCAGTTGCCATCCCCATCACCATCCACAAGTGCACCAACCATAAGCCAAGGCAGTTTAATTAAATGTTGGCCTTTACTATATTCCCTTCATGCTCCCATTTCTGCAGTCTGCCCTATATTAAATTCTTAGGTTTCAGAAATACAATGTTTACATCATTCTGAATTTTTTCAGTTGCCTATGAGAAAAAGCCTATTCTCTAGTTCTTCCAGCATATGCTTCTTATTCTTAAAACCAACTTTTGGATTTTTAAGAACTTTATTTTTTCTTATCACCAAGTATTAATATAAGCTAATTAAAACTTCAACCATCAGTATGCTTTATCTGCTGCAAATTTACCTAAATAAATGAATAAATAAGTAAATAAATAAATAAATAAAATCTATTGGGCACTCAATTTCCAAGGCATTTACTAATCATCTTCTGCAAACTTATTCCAGTCAAGACTGTTGCAGCTGACAGGGACATAAGCCAGTGGTGCATGAGGTGTAGTTAAGTCCTGAGCTACAAACTATTGCAGTTTTCCCTTACACAAACCCAGGGAAACTTGTGAGTGACTCCTCAGACAAGCATCACATATGGGCAGCTGGGTCACTCAGCAGGGCAGCTTCTGTTCATGGCTATACTACTATGGGGATGATGGTATATCTTGGAGTTTAGACTCTATTGCTATTCCCAATCTAGGTGATCCAGGGTATCCTTGAGAATGGCAATGATGTGATATCAGTCCAGTTTCCAGTTGTGAGAACCCCACACAGCATAGCATCATTGTGGGCATGTAAATAACAGGAACTTTCACAGGATGTGGTAATTCAATTTTTAACATTAGAAAAAATTATCTGCATTCATCACCTTTGCACCTCCACTGAGTTAGAAACATACTTTAAGGTGGGCACGTACATTTGGTAAGTGTTTTAAAAATGAATATAACAAATGAAATTTCTGTAGCCAGAGTAGGTACTATACATCTTGTCCAGCATGGCAGTTTTTAAGTTAGGAAGTAACTGAAATCATTTTAATCAATTCAATTTATATAATATTCATATACCTATGAATGAGTTGCTATATATATATTCATATATTCATATATATATTCATATATATTCATACACAGACACACACACACACACACACACACATATATCCTTATTTAGCCATAGGTATGTTTTCAAAAGTATCCATATCCAACTATTATTTATAAGTATAAACGCACCCATGCACATGAAATATGTTATGCACACCTGAAGATGTGCATATTTCATAAGTGAATATCTTCTCTCATTCTCTAGGGTAAATGAAATAAATATCAATTTTTTAATTGATATATGATTTAGCTTTAAATTTTGTCTTAGTATATTTATAAATAAACTACTAAGTATTCATACTTATGCCATCAATTTTAATAAAATGAATCTCTATGGATGGATGTGTAAATACAGTTAGTTTTCAAACAATAATGATTTATATATAAACACTTAAAACTCAATGTCTCATTGCATTAAATATTTATGTATTCATGTTCATGGATGTTCCTGTTAATTATCATCTTGCTGATTAAGGCAAGACTCAAGTGGGGGGTTGTGCTGGAGTCCAATGAGCTTGTCCCAGACTATAGATTGTATTTATCTGAAGTCAAGGCTGAAGGACTGAGCACTGCCTTTTGCTGGCTGGTTGCAAGAGTAAAAAACCTCCCCAAAGCGAATTAAGCGGTGAATTGAAATCCAGTATTCTTTAAAACAGGTTTGCACACTTTTAGTTAATTTTTTCACCTTAGAAATTACTAAAGTTTCTAAAAACCTTGATTCCATTTAAATATTTTCTCAAAAGTATTTGGTGGGCAAATAACTATATGTATCACCCTTTACACTATTCTCAATATTTTCAAATGTAATGTTGCATTGATTAGGAAATAATGCTGAGTGTGTTTGACAGATGTAACTGTCGTTTGGAATTTTCTTGAATGATCTCATTGGAAAAAAGTAAATCTCTTTAGCAGAACTATACAGTTTCTAAAACATACTTTCTTAAACCTTCTACACATCACCTGTTACATTGTGAAATAAAATTATCATTCAGTAAATGAATTCTGATGCCTTCTGGATAAATTTGGAATAGCAAAGAACTTTCACACTAAGGGAAAATGCTACATACATGTTTAGCATTTTCTGGTTTTTTGTCAAGGAAGATTTCTCATTTGATTGTCATGTGACTATTATTGATTTCAAACAATGTATTGATTTTCTGTTTTTTCTCTTATAGCAAAGCTTTCTTGCTTTAATACAGATTTGATGGTGATCCTTTAAAAAAATTAAAATGTATTTGGGGGACATCTCTAATTTGTAAAATGGTGAAAATATTGACTATATTGGACTGTCAACTGTCATATTTGCATCAGCATATCACTTCTGAAAATGCACTTTTCCAAAGACTTTTTTCTTTCTGGTTTCCTGTAGAGTTGTTCAATGACAGGTCCTCCAATAAGATTTGAAAGTCAGAAGAGGAGGATTCAATATTGGTTGACATCTGAAGGCATAGTGTGGACTGAGGTGAAGGCTGGAGAGTCACCTGGAGAGGTGCTAATAAGCTGAGAGCATCACCCAACACTGGGCTTCCAAGACGAATTTGAAGACCATATAGTTAGACATCTTATACCTTCAAGGCTAGATAAAATCAGGTTTCTGAAAGTCCAGATAATCCCCGATCCTAGTATTTGCTTCTCCAAATGGCATAGCCTAGTTTTGAAATGCTACAATTCAAATTATAATTATTTGCATCAACACCATTTCTCTTGGAAAGCAAAAAGTGGTTTCTCATTTGCACTATGAATTCCCATTAATCCATAATACCCACTCTTCAGGTGTACTGATCTCCTTTCATTATTAAATCAGGAGAGACATTGTTATGTTCATGCTTCTGGCACAGAGGAGGATAAAAGAGAGTCAGAGTGCAGAGGAAACTTCATGGGCCCCACTGCCAAAATCTACCAATGACATTCAAAATATAGCTGAGTCTGAGAAATATTATTAGCAGTTGTAGGCACCAGGAGCAGCAGCTAGGTCAGACCAGGCAAAATGTGCATTTCCTTCCATGGGTAGTATTATGCAATGAACTTGTAACACTGCAATACCACTGAACCTCGATAGGACCCCAGATTGCAAGTTAGGTGCCCGATAGATCAGGAGCTTAGGAGGATCCCCTGGTTTCTGCTGATACCAGTGTAAATTATTGCTAAAGCCCTGACTTTCCTGGCAAGTAATGGTGACTCTGTCTCCTAGAGATGCTGAGAGGGAGGTTGGTGACTGGGTCATCTGAATGTCACATTTGGCACCTGAAATTGGAAACAAAAAAAAACCCATATAATTAATCATGTTATAAGAGGACTTCTCTGAATGCCCATATAGTAATCAGCACACTGACTGAGTCAACTCTATTGTTATCCTTCTTTACCTGGAAACCAGAGCAGCAGGATCCCCAGAAGCTGAGTGGGGGCCCTCATGTCCATGCTGTGACCTGACTGAGACTGAGTCCTGCACTGGGTGAGACCAGCCTATTAATAAATCTTCAGGGCTGTGAGCTATATTCTGGGCACATGCAAATCAGCAGGGGATAGGGCAGGCTTGGGACAGCTGTGGGCCTGGCACATCTCAATAACTCAGGATAGGTATAGTGTCCCCAGTTTCCCAGGTCAGACCAGGGAGCACAGATTTGTTTGCAGAGAATATATTTCTGAGTAAAGGAAATATTGTCAGTAAAGATATTTATTTATTTGTTTGTTTGTTTGTTTGTTTGTTGAGTTGGAGTCTCATTCTGTTGCCCAGACTGGAGTGCAGTGGCATGTTCCTGGCCACCACAGCCTCATCCTGCTGGGCTCCAGCGATCCTTCTGCCTCAGCTTTCCAAGTACCTGAAACTACAGATGTGCGCTACCATGCCCGGCTAACTTTTTGATTTATTGTAGAAATGAGGTCTTACTAAGTTGCCAGGCGGGTCTTGAACCTGTGGGCTCAGGCAATCAACTCACCTCAGCCTCCCAAAGCACAGGATTACAGGCTTTTTTCTAGGATGAGTTCATGAACTCAACTGTCAGATCCTGTAGACATAAATATACACCTACACATACAAATACACAAATATATATGAAGAAATTGGCTTGAGGTGGCAGCAGCAGCAAGAAAAAAAAAAGGAAAGAGAAGGAAAGAAATCAGCTCTCATAACTCTGGAGGCAGACAAAATCTGCAGGGTGGGTCGGCAGCCTGGAAACCCAGGAGGAGTCAATGTCGTAGTCTATCTGAAGGCCATCCACTGCAGAATTCCCTCTTGCTCTTGCTTGGGAGAGCTTAGTCTTTTGTTCTGTTCGATTCTTTAACTAATTGCATGAGGCTCACCTATATTAGGAAGGATGATCTGCTTTACTCAAAACCCACCAATTTAAATGTAAAAGCACCATTACAGAAACATCTGGAATAATGTTTAACCACAAATCTAGGCACTGTGCCCTAGGCAAGGTGACACTTAAAACTAGATATTGCATGCATCAAATGCACTGTTGATCTATACGTGCAAAGGAGAGACATGATCAATGAATAAACAATTTTCAAGTTTTCAGGTAGCCATGAGCCACATAACAATGACTGGACAAGCTCACAACAACTGTGCAAGACAGTGAAGTTAAAGCAGATTGCAGCTACTAGGAAAAATGCTTCTCATCTTATGAAATGTGTTCCTGTTGCCAGAAGATGTGTGAATTTACGTGGGTTGAGGGAAGGACCAACTGGCTTAGGGCCCTGCAATCAAGACACCTGGATAACCTATTGAGGCAAGCTCAAAAAAGAATGCTAAAGTATAGCGAAGACAAAATTCAATTTAACCTGATAGCCATTGTGCCTGCCTAGAAAATGATGTATGATTGAAGACAGCTGAGCAACAAAAACAATCTACACAGAAAAAAATCCACAGACAGAAATGTAAGTGCTATTCATTCAGAGGTTGCCAAAAGCCAGATGCTATTGAAGAACAACAGATATTAACATGATATAAGATGAAAATATCAGAGGGAACATAAGGGATCTGCCTTTCCTCGTGGGGTTATAAAAGGTTATAGCAGAACACCGGCAAGTAAGGAAGAAGAAAAAAACAGACTGTAAAGAAAACTCAGGAAGAGAACCTGATGCATGCTTGGTGATGATGCCCATCTGTCCTATCTCTTGTGGACGCCTAATGGCGTTCCCCAACTGCACTGTGTATATGTAATGCATAGTCAGTGAAAGTGATGTTGAGAGTTTCTTGCCAAATTGCATTTGGCATTGTATCTCAGATTTTCTGTTAGCTTTTCTGAAAATGCAATGGCTATAATGGACCTAAAAATTCACAAAGGTATTATCTATCTGAAAATTGTCCATATTAACTTTTGATCTTTTGCCCGGTAAAAGACTTAAAGTTATTTTGTCAGACATCACTGAAGCTATATCTTATTTCCTGTCATAATAATAGAAGAAATTAGTGCACTGCCCCCCCCCCCACACACACACAACCTCTTATGACCCAAACCCTGAGGTCTGACACCTGGACTTCTCTCTCCCAGCCTCAGCTCTCCTGACTCACAACCCACTTCCTGCAACCATACCCATTCATTGAAAAAATGACTGTGGCACCAAACCTTTGGTCCAGACCCTCCCCCTTTCCCCCAGATATCTTCAACCTCCACCCAGCATTCAATGTCTCCCTGCTGACTACTGGCTTTTTGAAACCAAGAGACCTTGATGCCATGGTCTTACCTAGTGTCATCTGGTCCTGTTGATATTTCCCTACTTACAAATCCATACTCCTCCACCTGCTGTCTACACCCCACCTCTCACGGTGCCCCCGGACTCGAGGCCTTAGCTCGCTGCTCCAGCTGAAGCTGTTCTCTGAGCAAAACCTGACGGTCCTGCTGCTGTGTCTATGCCTTTGGTGTGCTCTCAGCTCACGAGTCCCTTCTTTCCTTGTCGTTCAACCCTGCATCACTTAGCCATTTTTTCCTCATACTTCTGTTGAAATTCCAAGAATAACAGAGCTGTTCTTTTCCTGAATCCCTGCTCTGGAGGTGAGGATGGAGTACTGGACCTTGGAAATGTCTCGTCCTGGGCAGTTGTCACGTCTCCAGGGTTGTGCTCTTTCTACCAGCTGGAGGTTACGAAGCGTGGCTGGCAGATGGGCATCCTTCATAGAATGACATCCTTGTAGCTCTGTTTTTGTCTGCTGATGTGAGACAGTCTCCAAGGGCTTAATTACCAGTGAGTGCTTGCCACCAATCTCCTTTCATGCCTACAGAGAGCCTGAAGTGGCACCTGTGTCCCCTTAATTCAGAAAGTGCCACCCCTCCCTGTCCGTTTCATATCCCATATCCTGAGGAGCTCTCTTGTCACAGGGTCTTTCCTGGATGTGCAGGGGAACCTCAGGGTACCCTTGGGAGGTGACTGTGGCCTTGTGCTTTGCTGTCATTTTCAAGCTGGCAAGTTCCTGTTCAAGAGAAGACCCTTTCAGAAACTACTCAACCCACGTGCCAAGATAATGCTGAGCACACCATCTGGCTTGCATACCTGTCGGACCAATTCTGGGGACACCAGTTGTCTGGGAACACCTAAGGCAGCTAAAGTCAACTTCCAGGAAGAGGTCAGCAGGCAAGGGGTGCCCCTTAAGTCCTGCCTTGCTCAGGGTCATGTTTTGGGACCCCAGAAAGAATCTCTTATATGGTCTTGCCCCTCACTTCTCCACTCTCAGTTTTCTTCTTTCCACAGCAGCTAGGGAAGTGATTAAATTGGCTCCTAAGTCCTAACAGTTGTTTGTTCCCCAGTGGTTGCTCTGCAGAAAATTTATATCTTAAAGACAGTAAAAGGTATTGCTGGAATAAGAAGGTTCTCAGGACTTTTTTAACACTGAATTTTGTTTTATCTTTTGTACTGCTTATTTGTGAATTTTTGGTTTTAATGCAAATAATCTAAAAAGAATAAAAGTATTACTCCTAGTCATTTCTATATTACTCCCTTTAGAAAAATGATAAACATTCCAATTTACTATGACAATTTTTTTATGGGCAAAAGACATGACTAAACAGATACTTTACAAAAGAGGAATTCTAAGTGGCCAATAAGCACTTGGAAACCATTCTCAAACCATTATTCATCAAGGAAATGCAAATTACAATCACAATAAGGTTCCACACCCTCACCTAAATGACTAAGGAGACTGACAATACCAAATGTTGGCAGGAAGGATGAGCAAATGGAACTCTCAATGCTGGTGGTAATGACTTTCTCAGAATGTGCCCCCTTCACTGAGTGATGTGTGATTGTATAGCCATACAATAAAGAATTAGCACAAAAAAGAACAAATGGTTGATACATACAAACTTGGATGAAGTCAAAAACATGCCCGATGAAGAAAACTAAACACACACACAAAATGTACACTGTATGGCTCTATTTTAATGAAGTTCAAGAAAAGGTAAAACTAATCTCCAACAATAGAAGGCAGAGTAGTGATTACCTCTGGGAAGGGGCTATCGACTAGATGAACAGAAGGGAATCTTGTCTTTCTCTGAGGTGACAGAAATGCTTTGTACCTTGGTGTGGGTGGTGGTTGCGTAGGATAATACACTCAGAAGATTTGCTTTTCACATACAGATTTTACTCTGTGTAATTGATATCTCAATTTTTAAAACAATAGAATGAGATAAAGGTTGTGGGCAGGCAGGCATGCTTCTTCCATTTCTACCATATGCCAGAAGGGAG